CTGATATTTGTGACCACAAAAAAGAAAACCACATCAGACAAGTCAGGATTCTGAGCTTCCCCCACTCCGCCCCCACCAAGAAAAGCAATTAATATTTAAAAGCAGAGAGTGAACATACATGTGAAATACACATTATGTACTTACATAAACTAAATTACCTTTCTAACTGGGCACCGTGACTCAACAGCTTTAAACTAACAATGGACCCATTTATTCAAAGCAAGATAGTTCTCCTGTTTCAGCTTACAGGGACTGAAGGGTGTTTCAGTCTGTCATCCAGGAGAGCAACTGCAGCTGGCATGTCTGGAGAAGCATTCACTGCATCCACAGCTTAACTGGGAGTCAAGCAACGGCAGTGCACTGAAAAATGACAGAAAACCTGGAGGTATTCAAATTCCATCCTTTGAGGACCATTTAAATTAATGCCTTTTGAAGAAGCCAATCCCTCCAAATACAAAAGATTTACACCCACTAAAACTGAAAAACACTGGCCAACCTGTTTGTCATTTCATCAAATACTGTCACATGACAGGGGTAACACACTACCCAGTACTGCCAGACTGTGCTTATTTCTTTACCATATTAAATCTGTATTTCCCAAAACTTAGTGGCTTCTAGGAGGAATGCCTATAACTTTCAAGTACATGAATTCCCAGCCAAGTGTTTCACAACTGTTTTTCTGTATTCTGTGATATATTCCCACACTGAGTTCCATACTTGAGAAAAATAGTCTATTTTCTATACTTTAAAAATCCAAATGAAATTGTGTCAGAGCTTATAACAATTTATTCTCTTCTAACCTTTGGAAATCAAAGTCAATAGAGTTATTTTTTTTAAAAAAAATCTAACCTCATTCTGATCTCCTCAAGTAATTTCTAAAGCATGTTTAATGGAAAACGGGGAGCTCACTGGAGAAATCCAAATGCTAGTAATGAAGAAAGATCCTCTGGGCCACACATCAGATGATGACACACAGCAACCTACCGCCACTTTGAGAGCTTGAACTGAAAGATGCTTCTAGACAAAAAGTCCCTGTAACTCCACCAAGAAAAAACCAGCTTGCCAAAATATAGCCTTGAATTGTGCAACTAATCTCCTATTTCTTCTTATAAAATATACTGGCAAAGACCAACAAACCCACACTGCTACAAAGAATCCCATCCCCACATTCCATGGTTTCAGGGCTATTCCCGTAAACACAGGGTCATAAAAAGTAGCCTGCACACTGCAGCAGCAACACTCCATTTTCAAGAGAAAACTGAAGATAATGGCATGAATGTGCTGCTGTCACAGTCTGAGCATCGTTTAGGAAAGTTAGCAGGAGCTGATAAGCCTACCTTAGAAACCCACCCACAAAATATCACACATACAGATGATGAACCCAGCTCGGTGAAATGTTAAGTTTTTAGTTTGCATTCTTTATGAACCAGGCCAGGTCAGCATATTTATACACTAGGACAACTAAATTTCAGGGAAATTGAATGCCCAAGTCCTTGCCAGTGGCTTATTTACCTCACAATTAAGCTACTACCCCAATGTTCCAGTGTTCTAAGAAATGAAAATGGCCCTTTAGAGTCCAACACATCTCATCAAAGGAAAAACTGTATGCTTCTGAATTCTAAAAATAAAGATGTACAAGCTTCTGGGTTTCTTTTCTTTTCTTTTTTCCTTTTTCAATTTTAATACACGCTAAGTAAAACAATATAATAATGACTGCCATATTCTCTGAAATGGGGGGATTTAATGTTTCAAGGCCCTAAATAACTTTCATTTTCATTACATATTATTACGAAAGACAACAATTGAGAGATTTTAATGTACAAAAACCTTGCTAAAATTTTCATATGCATCATTACATAAGAGAATTATTAAATTACACATTTTAAGGCACATTGTCAGGTTTTAACTGCTTCTTAATTCTATTAATTAAAGATCCTGGTGATCACAGAAAAATATTCCCACAATTGTACATAAAAAAGCAGAGTAAGGGTGACCAGAGGGGTAATTAAAGTAAGAAAGGCATTTGTGACATTAATAATCTTGACACATTATAAATGTTATTAGGCACAAATTTTCATAAGGCACTGTTATTGGGCATGTTGAAACTAAACCATACAAGGGGTTAAAAATAACCACTCTAAAAGGCCAAGAGCCTTGCCGCCCAGTTGGGCCAACATTCCCTCCTCTCCTCCCCTCCCCTCCCAATCCTGTCCCGTCCAGAATGAATTGCATGCCCCACTGCACAGGCCCAAAAAGGTCACCGGAGATGGCAGACACTTTTGTAAGAGAACAGAAATAACTCAGCAGCTTTGTTATCGTGGTCGCTTTTAATCAGTATGTTCAAAATCCTTTAATTAGCACTCTGTCTACACAGGGAAAGCACTTCTGAGCCAGGGGAGGGCATGCATGCATGTATGTATGCAGTGTTCCCTGTGTCAGCGTCACAACAGAGCTAGCCCCGCAGACTGTCTGCCGGGGACTGAAGCACAAAACTGCAAAGTCCTGGCACCATGCACAGGATATGTATGCTTTACATCTTTATTACCAACCAGCAAGGAAGGCAATGACTGAGTTTGTTTCACTTAGGTACCAGTTCACTTCTGGACCTTTTCTCAGCAAAGCCTGAAATATTTTAAACTAAGGTTGGTGAGATGGCTTAGCAGGTACAGGGACCTGAGCTCAGTTCCAGGAACTCACACATGGAGGGAGAGAAGAGACTCCTTCAAGTTGTCCTCTGAGTTGTACCCTGTACCATGGCATGCTCGTGCACACAAACGAACACAAGTACTCACACGCACGTACGTACGTGTACACACACACACACACACACACACACTAAATACTGTAAGAAGCTTTTAAACTAAACAATTTTTAGTAAATTAAAATAGGAAGTGAAAAGTTAATATAAAATAATGTAAAGATAAATCTATAGGATTTCATCCTCATCACAGATCTTCAGTACAGAAATACAACCTTATGTGACTAAATTAAATCCTAACAAACACTTTCACATGGATACTTCACATTTAAAATTAAGCACAAAGTCGTAGAACTTACATATTATATTATTTAAATACACTTCCCTGAAAAATATGATTAACTGGAATCAAGAAAAATATCTGCATTAAGTCAAAGATAAGATATTTGTAGATACGCTGCCAAGAAACAATGGAACTCCACTACTTAAAAGGGGATTTGTAATACCTGTAATAAGCAGGAGGCACTAACTTTTCTTAAACATTCAAAATCAAGTAGGATTTTACATATGTACTAAGACAAAATATATACAAAAATATTTACATACACAATATGTAAATAAGCATATGTAACTAAAAATATCAGGGACAAGTATTGTAGCAAATAACTATATCCCAATACTCAGGAAGTTGAGACAGGCTTGAAATCTCCACCTATTTCAAGCCTGCTACACAACAAGACACTCTCCCAAAAGTCAAAAAAGTAAAAAAGAAGAAAAGAAGGGAAGGGAGGAAGGAAGGGAGGGAGAGAGGGAGGAAAGGAGGGAAGGAGGGAGGGAGGGAGGGAGGAAGGGAAGGAAAGAGGGATGGAGGGGAAAAGGAGATGGGGAGAATGGTGATTCCAAGGAAACACATGGAGAGAAAAGGAAGGTATGGAACGATGTGTCATATGCTGATATTTTAACAAATAAAGTTCATATTTATAAGAATATGCAACAAATCTCTAGAAAGTTATGCAAGTAGAAGGCTGGGAAAATGACTTAGTGGCTAAATGTGCTCGCTCTGCAAGCTTGAGGCCCTGAGTTTGAATCCCCAGCACCCATCTAAAAAGCCAGGCATAGCTGTGTCAGTGGGCAGAGAGAGGCAGATCCCAAGAGAGCTCACTGACCAACCAGACTAGTCAATGGTGAACTTCTGGTTCAGTGAGTTCCCATCACAAAGCAATAAAGCAGACAGAGATGAGGCAGATACCCAGTAACCTGTCTGGCCTGTACATGAGTGTGCACACCAGCATACTCATATACAAACACACACACACACACACACACACACACACACACACACACACACAGGAAGTTATGCAAATAAATAACAGTAATAATTCCCTTTTGGTGAGTGAAACTGTGCCTGGTATGGTCTCAATTAAGTAAAAATTGTAATTACTCCTTTCTCAGAGTCATTAAGACATTCTAAGCCCAGACATGATGGTACACACCTCTACTCTCAGCACTCGGGAGTTAGAGGCAGGTATATCTCTGTAAATTCAAGGCCAGCATGGTCTACATAGCAAGTTCCAGGACATCCCGGGCCATCCCGGGCCACACGGTGAGTCTCAACCAGTCTCTCCCCGGACTCCTTTCACTCCTTTTCCTTCTCCCTCTCTCCACATCTACACACACACACACACACACACACACACACACACACACACACACACACACACTGTGTTCAACTAATCTCAAGGAGGTAAAAAGTCAAATCCCAACTATTCACAGCAATCTAGCTGGAGAGCCACACCCTTCATTCTTTTCATCAGATCTAAGTAACTTTTTTCCGTCTTACTCATGACTGTTACCTCCACCAGAATATGAGGTGAAGAAATAATACCAAAACCAGTCATGATCACTAGTGTTAACAGACAGCTCTTGGAGCTGAAATGAGCCATTAAAACTTAATAGTACAATGCCATAAAAGTACTTTTGAATAAACTAAAGCCCAGAGAATTTCCAAAACTTGGGGCAATTCAAAACCTTATAGTTGGCTCCTTGGCTAGATGTTTTCTATTTTAGGTTTGTTCATATTAGAGAAACTGAAAACAAGCTGAACTGAAATAAAGTATCCTTGTCAAGTTCCTTCCCTCTTCATCTTTATTAGATAGCCAAATCTGGGAAGAGAAAAAAACGCTCCCAACTGTAGTAAGTGTAGTACAGATCGACAGAGAATTCAACAGCACAGTCCTGAGGGCCGGCCCCAGGACCAAACAGTGAATGAATGTTTGCAGTGACTTCTATAAAGGTGGCTTACACTAGAGATGGTCAGGGGCATGTTGAAATCCTTGCCACCTTGGAGACGGAAACCCCAAGGAGCTGGGCCGACCAACGACACACTGTAGTTGCTCATGGTTCCAAGGGTTCAATGTGCAGTTCCAAAATCAATGAAAGAAACTACAAAAGAAAATGAGATGGTTAATAAAAATGTTTATTAGAAACCAAATTACATATATCACTGCACTGTTACTGTTCACAAAACTGTTCACTATTTTGGGGTAGGATGAAAGGACATACAGGCTATAGGTAGCAAATTCTTGATTAATTTCAGCAGAGGAAATCTATAAGCCAGTTTTATACTCATGCCCATTCCCAAATTGCTAAACCAAATGTTGTGGAGTCTCACATACAAACTTTAATATTTTATTGGAGGAATTACATACTCAGACCAGAACAAGATTTTCTTTCAATTGTTAATTCAACGTGATTTTCCCATTCCCTCCATCTTGTGCATCCTTTTTTTTTTTTTCCCCCCAAGGGTTTCTCTGTGAAGTTTTGGTGCCTGTCCTGGATCTCACTCTCTAGACCAGGCTGGCCTCAAACTCACAGAGATTCACCTGAACCCCAGTGTTGAGATTAAAGGCGAGCGCCACCACCGCCTGGCACTTGTGCGTCCTTTTTTTACTGTAGGCAACAAGGCACTTTAATCTCACTTACTTCAATTATGTGACATATTAAAGGGACTGCAGAACTGTTGGCTGTTTGTGTTTTCTAAATAATAAGTTATTTGAAACTGAGATGAGCACAAACTATGCTAATTAAGAATTGTAACTCATAGCCTCTTCTATAGGAATATGGTATTTTCCACAGTTAAGAGAATGTAAAATGTTGCTTTAATCTCAGTGCGTCCAGGTATCTACACGTGCTTCTGAATTTGGTGTGGTGGAATAGAAGTTTCAGTGCATTTTAAAAAGTGAAAAAGTACATTAAGGCAGGATTTGTTGTTGATTTAACAGTTAAGATTTTTCTAAGCAAGTATGATGTGTGTCTGAAATTGGGGGTTTTGTTGTTATTTGTTTCTGGGTCTGGGAATTGAACCTAAGGCCTTAGGTTCTTTCATATAAGCAATGCTAGGCTATACTGTAGAACAGGTGGTATTTTAGTCTGAATCTTTGTTTTCTTTTCTACTCATACATTATCCAGCAAAGCGGAGAGTAAGCCTCCAAAGCCAGTAAATGAGGCTATGCTAACCATAACCAAAGTACAAGGTGAACCTTAAGGGAACTAAATTGGAGCCTTAGAAAATTACCATGATGCAGTTCCCCCCCCCCTCCCGTCTTGCTGCACTTAGGCTCATAATGACTCCAGGGTAGCTCTTTTAAAGTTTACTTAAGAGTGTCCTATTGATAATTAGGAGGCATTGGGAAGAATGAAAGTTGTTCCTTCTTTAAAAAGAATAATATTAAGGACATACAGTTCTTCCACTTAAAAATAGGTAGGTGTATGATTTTATAACTTTGAAGACATTTGTTAAAACAAAGCTTTGAGAGTTGGAAATTATAGCTCAATGGTAGAGTTTGCCTAGCATTTATGAGACCTTAGGTCCAATTCCCAATGCAAAAACAAACAGACAAAAACATAGTTGAGACTTCCTTTAGAAAATCTGAACTGTTAAATCAACCACCTTAACATACTCCTCCTTAAATCCACTCAAACGTCTAGCCATCATATCAAGTTCAGCGGCACATGTACCACTGAGGAGAAGGCAAGCAGATTCCTTCTTCTCAAAAACGGAAAACGACACAACACTTTAAAGGAAATCTAGTTCCTGAAGAAAAATGACTTCTGGGATAATGTGCACTGCAAAGCTTTCCAGATGCAAGGGCAGTGCTGGACTACTGCGCAGTGACATTACTTTAGTACTGCAGCAGTAAGCAATGGCCATACAAATAGACTCAAAGGACACCAGAAGTCAAACTGTTAAACTGCAGGTGGGAGAAAAAAAAATGGTAGGGAGTTAATAACATGCCACACAAAATCGCCTTCCCGTTATAAAAAGATCTCCGCAAGACCAGTAGAGGCAGTCTTGATATTGACATACAGTACAAATAAATCTGTAAGCCAACTGATACTTCACAGGCCACTGTCCTTTTTTAATCGTTAACTGTGCCAAGGGAAGAATGTGAAAGTTATGGTGAAATTCCTCCGGCTCCATTCTTCCCTAGGAGAGAATGTATTTTATGTGTGTATCAACCCACATCCAAGTAACTTCCCTTTTCTTAGGGACTCCCTTCCTGATTTCTCCCATTCGTTATTAAAATTTCTAGCACTGGCCAGGTCAGCCAGACCATAAAACCGGTTGTCTCTTCTCTAAATTCCCTTTCTGCTAGCTTCAGTTGGAATTCATTTGTCTTAAATTATTCTGATCCTTAGGCAATAGCAATATTTTTATTGGCCTTTTCCAAGTCTCCCGCATGTGGTTATTAGTGCCCAAATCCTGAAATACCAACAGAACAGGCAGGAAATAACAGCTTATTCTGCTTTCAAACAAGTAAAAATGTTGGAATTTCTGCAGAGTTCTGGATTTTCTTTTAGGGACTATTTAAATTATGCCTTCCATCTAGAGCTAGTGAGGAAGGCTGGAGGTGGTTTCCCACACTTCTAAGTCAGCTAGCTTCCTTAGTGAGTGAAAAGGGGGAGAGACCTACTCCGAGTGACAAGCCCTTCAATTAAAGAAGACTATCTAGAGATTCTTTCTCTCCTACTGAGATATAATGGTGGGAGGGCTAAAGAACTAAGTCACAGGACGAGACGTTTCCCAGCTGAGGTTCACGCCTAGCCCTGTTGGCCAAATAAGGTTTCCCCAGCCAGCAGTTTCCGTGGCAGGCGGGTTCAGACGTCCTCGGGTCAAGAAGGAGGACCTGGGATAGGATCCGGAGATCACACCCTAGACCTGCCCAGCCCAGCCACGAATTTTCTTTCCAAGTTCTGCCCAGTCCATACGCCCTTCCTTTTTCCACCCATTGTCAAACCCAACTGAAGCACGGTCTGCCAAAAGCCTCAACAAGTAAACCTGTTTCAAAACTCCGGCGACCGCGACAAATGTGTTAAGTGGGCTTTATTTCTGGACGCACCGACGCTTCCCCCAACAGGTTACACAATTGCAAATATTTAAGGGAGGGGAAATCAACGCTTCTCCGTAGCCTGGAAGCCAGCAAACAAAGTAGTGCCGCTTTCCCGTGTGAGCGCACATTCTCCGCACGCCCGAGTCTCCGGGGGGCCGTTGCACCGGCAGGCCGGGGTGCTGTCCCTCGCCGCCTGCCCTGGGTCTCGGCGGGCGCCCCCTGGCGCGCCCGGCTCTCCCGAGCGCCAGTAGCGGACAGCCCCGGCTGCGGGTGCTCCATCCCGCCGCGTGCCGGGTCCCGCGCCGCCCTGCCTGCCCGGGGGACCTCTCCCACCTCCGCCACCGCGCGCACCCAGAGCACCTGAACCCGGGAGATGCGCGCCCCGACCTCCTCCCGCCCCGCGCCTCTCGGCGCGCAGCACCGCGCCACCTCCTTCTCCTCCTCTCCCCGATCGGACCAGGACGCGCTCCTCCGCCGCCCGCCGCCACTCACCCGGGACCCGCGCGGCGCAGCCTCCGCCTCAGAGCAGCGCTGACAAGTGGCTCCCAATGCCTGCGCCGTCCCCTTCAGCCCGGCGGGGAACTTCCGCCTCCGCGCTCGCCCCGCCTCGCCCCGAGGCTGGCCACGCCCCCTCCGCTCCTGGCCACACCCCAAAGCCGGGCTGGGCGGGGCCGCGCCAACAAGGCTTAGAAGGCAAGTGGTGTCTCCAGGCTGGGCGCCGAGACTTGCTGGGGCTGGCTGGCTGCAAACGCCTCAAAAACAATTCCCCTGTGGAGTTTCGGTGGGTGTAGTCTCCGGGGATTTCGAATGGTCCCTGGCAGAGAGCTAGCCTTCCGCTTTTCTGTTTTGTGTTTGAGCGCTTTTTCACTCTGCAGCAACTTGAATTAACCCGCAGTTGTTGGTCTGGCTAAAAATAGAAAGGGACTTTGGCTGAATCCCTGTCGACGCAAGTTCAGCGACTACCGCCTGGTTTTGTGAAGGACTTCTGTATACTCTGAGAAGTGCTTGTGAGGAAGGTGAAAATCGCTAACCCTAATAGGCAGAAGTTAAATCTGTCGTCACGCTCCAAGACAGCCATAGAAAGCAGAGGCCAAAAGTGATTCAGCCACTATATCCTCGGCTTATTTTTTCCAAGTCCAAATCAACAACACATTTACCTAATTCTATAAAGTTGTTTAATTTTGCCCAGAGAATTTATTCACAAGCAAACATTAATAATGTTCAGTGAACGCTCCAAAAGAAACTTGCATTTTTCTCTTACTCTTTGAATTAGCTTTTAAAATGCTAAAAAGACAAGTGGTAGGCGAGTGGTGTATCAAACAAAAATAAACCTCAGAGAAGTCCATGACCATCTAGAGGTACAGGCAGAATTCTCAAATAGGACCAAAGCTGATGAAATAGCAGCCACTTGCCACATTCGGCCATTTTCATTTGAAATGTGGCTACTGGGATTTTAGAGTTGCAGTTTAACTCTCCTTGAAAATGTTTTATATCATTCTAATGAATCTAAATTTAGCAACAAGTAGGATAGTATTTCCATTAAATATAATTTTCAGTAGGATGACATTTCACTATACTGTTAAACATTTAGTGCTTTACTATTAAAATGTTTACAATTTACTAAATTGACATATATGTACTGGGTTTTTTTAACTTTTTAAAATTTTTTAACATTTAAAAATATGTATGTTGACTACATGCTGAAATTATATTATCTATTTATTTCATTACTTGAAGTTATCAAGTAATTCCATAGTATTGCTTGATACTAACTGTATTACTTTATTGGTTCCAGGATTCCTTTCAATACCAAAGTCCTTAGATGCTCACATTCCTCGTGTTAAATGATGAAGAGTTTGCATATAGACTATATATACATAGTCTGGTACTTGTAAATCATGTCTAACATGATTTACCTAACAGAGTAAATAGTTATTATGTTGCATTATAGAGAAAGTGACAAGAAACTAAGTCTGTACATATTCTGTATAACCATGAGATTTTTCTAATAATATACATCTGTGTGTAGTTGAATCCTCTGATACAAAACTCCAGCTACAGAGAGTGGACCATACATACAAAGCAGGCTTGGCACCAAGTAAGTGTTAAATGATAGCTATATAAAACTTGCCTAATTAAGTGATTAGATTGGTGTATAATAATGACAAGTAGAGAACTTCAGCATCCATTATACATGTACTGTGTTTATGGTACTTTATGTACAGGTAATCTTATTTAATTTTTTTCAACCATGTATTTTTTCAGAAAAGGAAACAGACACTTGAAGGGCATGATTAAATTTAATGGTAGCTATGGGGCTGGAGAGATGGCTTAGCAGTTAAGAGCACTGGTTGCTCTTTCATATTGCTCTTCCATAAAACTGGGGTTTGATCCCCCCAAACCCACATGGTGGCTCACAATCACTGTAATTTCAGTGACAAGGGATCCAATACCCTCTTCTGGCCATGAGGGCACAAGACACTCATGTGGTATATAAACTTATATGTAGGCAAAGTACAGTGCTCTCCCCAAAAGCCACAGACTGTCTAACAAAAACCCCAACACAAGGCATAAGAATCCTTTCTTGAGGGTCAGGGTTTCCAAGAGATTCCCAAAACATTCTAGGTTATTGTTGTTACATTTGGTTGCCCCCAGAAGTGGAAGATAAGTCCTTACTGCTGAAAACACTGTACGTTTCTGACACAGGACCCAGAGGACCTGAGCTAGATCTGACCTTAAAGCCTCCTCTCTGAGGACTAGTTTTCATGTTACCAGAAAGCACCACATGTGAAATTCTGAAGGAAACAGCCAACAGCCCTACCCAGCTCTGATGCCAATGAACTACAACAACAACCAGTATGTCATGATACCCTCGCCGTCACAACAGTGACACACATAACTTGATGGGGACCACCAACTCTAATTGTGCTTAAGATCCATCCAACAAGATGGAGATCTACTAGTGCTGGAAACTGCCCAAGTCTTGTGAAGTTATGGACCTTGGAGGAGAACCTGCAACCCCCACTTTACTAAAACAGCATAGTGCCTAACTACACTCTATTTATCCTCATACCCACAAATAAGTATTTCTCACTCCTGCCAAGGAAAATTCCCTTTGCTACAGATAGAGACCATTACAGAAAACCACAACAGATCAAAACACAGAGCCGTGGAGTCTAGTCCCAAGTGATACATCTACAACATAACTTCTGCACCTAAGGCTCATGGATCATAGAAGAAGAAGGAGAAGGAGGATGAAGAGGAGAAGGAGGTGGAGGAGGAGGAGGAGGAGAAGGGAAGGAAGGAAGGAAGGAAGGAAGGAAGGAAGGAAGGAAGGAAGGAAGGAGAAGGGAGCACAATGATTGTAGGAGCCAGAAGAACAGGAAGTTTCCTGTGAGATTGTGTCTCCTAGAAATGTCAGAAAAGCCGCACCCATGAAGTCTTTCCAACATGGCTGCCTGAACATGACCTGAACAAAGATGGCAGCAATAGACTTGCTAGTATGGAAGCAGGAAAGCACTTGAGGCCCCACAACCTTAGACAAAGAAGTACAGGCAACTAAGGAATGCTCAGAGCAGGAGAACTAGCCTTCTGCAGGGAAGAGCACCCCAACTGGTTATCCAATACCAAATGGTCAGCTCTGAAAACATACATACAGTAACATTATACAGACTGAGCATGTTATATTTATACATTTAGAAATATATATCTATATATATTTGTATATGCATAACAGTAATGTCTTAGTTTGCGTTTCTATTGCTGTGAAAAGACATGATAACCACAGCAACTCTTATAAAGGCAAGCATTTAATTCTGGCTGGCTTACAGTTTCAGTTTAGTCCATTGTTTTCATGGTGGCACACAGGCAGACACGGTGCTGGGGAAGGAAGGAGCTGAGAGTTCTACATCTTGATCCACAGGCAGCAGAAGCAACTGTGTCACTGGTCATAGCTTGAGCATCTGAGATCCTAAAGCCCACTCCCACCAAGTGACACACTTCCTCCAACAAGGCCACACCTTCTATTGTGCCACTCCCTTATGGGGACCATTTTCTTTCAAACCACCACAAATATTTAAAGTAAAAGAAACCATGAATCTGAATGAGACCAGGGTTTGGCATGTGGGACTGTTTGGAGGGAGGAAAGAGAAGGGGAAAATGATATAAGAATATTATAATTTCAAAAAAAAATTTTAAAGGATACAAAGTTTGGAAGAGGTAAGGAAAGAAGGAGTGAGGGGAAGGAATAGAGGGTGAATAGGATCAACAGACATTGTATGCATGTCTGAGAGTCTCAAAACATCAATAAAAATATATTTTAAAAATACTCCTACATGTGAAAAATAAAGTAATAAAATATTTTTAATTTAATGACAAATAGCTGCCATATAAGTAAGCCAAAGAGTCTTACACCATAAAATACATTCTTGTCATCAGAACACACCTGCTGTTGTTAAATCAAGTAAACTATCTAACTTAAAAGCCAAAGAAAAAAGAAAATCCATAGAAACTAACATCTGAAGTCATGCATGTACAGACTGCAGCAAACTAGAAGAAAATAAATGTTCAGTTATTTGCATATGAGGGAGAATGAACTTTCTCAAACCACATCCCAGAGGACAGATGCCTCGACTTGCCTTACTGTGAGTGGCCACTGACCCATCTGACTCCCCTTGTTCATCCCCTTCATTTATAAATGGTTGGTCATAATTTGAAGGACAGCCTTTGATTTAACACTAGCAGGAAGAGAACTGAGTCATTGGGAAGCCAAACCAGCATCCCTGGACTTCTTAACTCTCACAGGCAAAGCAATGAGGCACTGGCCAAAGATGAAACCATATTCAAAACTCCACCAAAGTCAGCTGGAAGAGAAGAAGGGAGCGGAGATCAAAAGATTATCCAACTTGGCTGAAGAGTTTGTAGACTATTCTATCTAAATACAGTATTTACCTAAGTGTACAAATGTTTGCTTTAGCATTTTATTATCCAATAGATGACTCAGAACCTCCTGCTGTCCTTCAAAAATAACAGAAACTTTTAATTGCAAGATGACATGGCCATGATGAGTTTTTATAAACCAGCAGTCTCTTAAAAGTTTCTACATTACTCTATGTCAATTTGTCTTCTACGTCTCCAAAGCACTGGCAGGGTAGGACTGTTTAATGGTTAAAATCTAGAACAGAAGAGCAGCGTGATCTAGTCTCACACTTTAATATTCCGTATTGAGGAGAAACTGAAAACGATGTGTTATTCTAATGGAAGCAAAGGCACCCCAAGGAATCTAGGAAGAAGGGCATAATTAGGGCAGGTATGAAAAAAATATAAGGAAATAAAAGGATGAAAGTGAATATAAAACCAGACCTTTGTAGAAGTAATCGTCTTATTCAATAAGAAACACAGAACCAATGCAAAGATGAAAGCCCAAGAGGTCAGAGCTAAGAGCCTTATCCTTCACTCTACAGCTATCCTCTTCAGCCAAGAGAGCTAGTTCCTGTGTGTTTGTCTTTATCAAGACTTTCTGTTCTGCCTTCTCATTGGTTGTAAGCCCAACCACATGACCGCCTCATCACTGCCTGTCTGTACAGACCTCCAGGTCTTCTATGGTTGGTATTGAGATTAAAGGCATGTGTCTTCAT